GCCGCCCGCCGCTGTCGGTCTGCCCCTTAGCGAGGGCGTCAGGTCTTAAAACTCTCGTGCCTGCCAAAGCCCTTCCAGCGTTTTAACTTTCGGTGTCCGTGGTCAGCGAAAGGACACGGCTGCAGCCCTGGGTCCAAACACTTGCGGGAACTGCCCAGGCGGTGCTTGGTCCGGTTGTACCCTGTTTCCCCGAAAGTAAGACATCCCCCGAAAATAAGATCTACTTACAGTTTTGCCTCTCTCTGAAATATAAGGCACCCCCCTGAAGCTACCGTCACTCTGGATGCTGGACTGTAGTGGCGGGTCCTGCCGCGCAGCTCACTGTTGGCCGCAGCCGTAGCAGACAGGAAATGCGAGGTTTCTTTTAATTAAATAATAAATGTGTACCGTATTCTTCTTCGTGGAAAAATAAGGCATCCCCTGAAAATAAGACCTACCGCATCTTTGGGAGCAAAATTTAATATTAGACACTGTCTTATTCTCGGGGAAACGGTACACTGGGTGCTACAAGCTGGCCGTGCCCTGCCTCTCCCCAACCTCAATGCACTTGTGTGTGCCCTCGGGGTCACCGGAAAGCCTGCGGTGGATGTGTGCATCCAAGCTCCAGGCAGCAGTGGACCGTGTGCGCCGTGCAGACACCCGAGAGGAGACCCACAGCTTACAGGGTGTTTGAACTCGGACGCAGAGAACACTTCGGAGTCCCATATAGATGCTTTATGTAACCCAGGCTTCAGGGTGATCATGGGAGACTACCAGTCCTTGAGCAAGCATCGCCTTCAGGTTATTTCTGCCTCAGGCCGGCCTGGGATGTCATTATTAATAAACTAGATAAGCAGGGCCTAGCTTTTAATTATTAACAGCTGGCTAAATAAAAGACTGCGCTCCGAGGTATCTGGCCCTGCGCTAGGGACATCCGCCCACCCAAACGTTCTGATTTCAGTATAGTGAGTTACAAAACTCCCTTGCGGCTACATTAAGTACCAGAGGCTAACTGCATTTCGTAAGGGGGCTTTTTCTGACTACAGTAAGTGAAATAACTGGGGTTTCATTGGTACTGGTCATTGTACCTGTATATTGATTGGGTGACTCCTGGGAGCAGGGGTGGGAGAGAAGGTGTCAGACCTCAGGAGCAGCATGTCCCCCTGCAAGGCAGCAGTGTCCAGTGCTGACCCCTGCCCTCCCTCCATTGTGCTGACTCAGGTCCCTGCTGGGTTGGGCTGAGCTGAGGTCAGGGATGAGTATTAGGGGGGAATAGAGCTAGGGAAATGTCTTGTG